TGATTTTTGATTAGCTAAAAATTTTTTTTTTTTTTTTGACCTTGCTCACACAGCCCCCATGTGGAGATGGGGTGCTGGGGGTCACCCTTAGTGGGGTCCCCAGCAGTGCTCGTATGAAAAAAGATTTTGTTTGATTTTGTAATTAGATTTGTTATATATGTAGAATTATTAAATTCTTTGCAATTAAAGAATAGATGCAATGGAGAAAATTATACGTTTGAAAACTCACAAAAGACTGATTCAACACAGTACCAAGAATTTAGAATAACGAGTCTACCATTATTTAATTTCTATGTAAAATTATATATATACTTCCAAACTCACTTAGCAAGAATTCATTTTCCTCACACCCAACCATTGCTATGGCTACTTCCAACTCTTGGAATTCCCCCCTCCAATCACATATTTTTCTTTGTTATGTTTCCTTCTTCTATTTTGTGTTCACCCTTTACTATTGTATTTATTTCTATAGAAGAATTTTAACTGTACAAAAAGCCCATTTGGTAGAGTTGTGGGAAAGTGATTATAACTTATAACCTAACAGCTTATAGCTTATAGCTGTGAATATAAGCTAATTTTTGACTTATAAATTAAACTTCTTTTCCCCCACTCAAAGAATAAGTTGATTTTTGACTTACAAAAAGCTATAAGCTGTATTGTTAAGTTGAACCAAACACATCAAAATAACTTAAATTAAACTAAAAACTGAAATAAATTATAAATAAGCCCTACCAAACATGACCAAAATTAGATACATCTCACGTGGGGTGAGCCGTACCAAAAATGTGAATCACACCTTATGAAAAAAGGTTGTGTGTGATGGAAATTAAAAAATTCAGCTCCAATTGTTTCCTATCTCTACTGGCAGTGGGCTCGAATCCTTTCGTTTTCAATGGAGGAAACACCTCTTGTTGGATTGATCAAGTCTACATTGGAAATTTTGATAACAAAGAGTTTTCCAAATAAATGTATTGCCCACATCTTTTGGGTAACAGGTTATTACTTATCTTGGGACCGAATTGGTTATTGGAATATTATTAGTGAATATTCAAAAAAATTTGGAGGTCTTAGGATAAATATTAAAAATGATAAAATAAAAAAAAAATAGTTTTAGTTCTTAAAATATGTGTGTATTCATTGTCATTTTAATCTCTTAAGTTTTAATTTTATCATTTTAGTCCTTAAAGTTGTTAATTTGAGTCAATTTGATCATATTTCTAACTTCAGTCTACATTGATAATGAGAAAAATATTTTATTCTTGGATAAAAAATAATTTTGATCTCTAAAATATGCATTCTTTATCATTTAAGTTATTTAAATTTTAATTTTATCATTTTGATTCTCAAAGTTATCAATTTGAGCTAGGATCAAATTGACAACTTGGGTTAAATTAACTAAAAATAATAATTTATAACTTTCTTCACAAAAATAACATATTGAGCTGTTCTTCCCAATTGAAGGTATTATGATTGCCACATGTTTAATTTTTACTTGTTGATTTAAATTAGGTATAACAATTGTGCCATTTTGTATTCGTCTTTGATTCATATCGTGTGCAGATATCATGTCAAAAGAAATTTGTTTGTTAGTTAAAAATATAGGTGTACTTATGAAATTATTCATTGAAACGTATTTATTAGTTTCAACTTTATTTTATTATTTCTGGCGTGCTCGATATGATACCTTTCGTTTTCAACATGGAAGAAATGTCTTCTTGTATTCGTCAAGTCACTATTGGAAATTGGATCCACAAAAAAGAGATTGATTTTTAAAATAAATGAATGTTATAATTTCTAATAATAATCTTTCGAAAAGTATTCCTTAGTCCTTAGCTGCAATATTATTTTGATCAAAATTAAAAACTTTATAAATAGGCACAACCACGATACCATCTTATTTAGGCCTGGTTTGACATACACTAAAAATATAAAAAGTTAAAAAATTATTAAAAAAAAAAAAAAGTTACTACTATTCACTAAAAAAGAATATATAAAAAAAACCCTTTACATAGGCCAAATACAAGCCACTCTTGGTCAAAAAGTGATGGTAAGTGATGGCACGCGGGTGTATAAAAAAATTTGCACAAGATGGTACTGTTTGGCCTGTGGGGCCCATCCCGGGTCTCGTTTTGATAATCTGAACCGTTCAATGTATAAAAATCGTCAAGTACTATATGCTTGTAAAAATCACGTTGATCGGATATCAATTACTATATAATCAAATCCGTTTTGTATAAAAACATGGACGGTGCACAAAGTAACGGTTGACAAAAAACTAATCCGATTAAATAGTTATTGACATCCGATCAACGTGATTTTTCATAAACATATAATACTTAACGAGTTCTATACAGTAAAACGATTTCGATTATTAAAACGGGACCCTTAGTGGACCCCCACGGGCCGAACAGCATCGTTCAGTTCGAACAGCACTGTAGGCAATCTGGTCCTAGCTTCCCACTATATGTATGACGGTACCATCACTGTCAGTAGATACTTATATATGTAGGGATAATATAGTAATTTTGTTATTTTATATAATATTTTAATACATATTTTTTTGTAAAAAGTCAAAAAATTATCCAAAAAAAATCATATTTTTTTCCTCTACTTTTTAGTTCAAAAAGTTAAAAAGTACACTTATTTAGAATACCTCAAATAACTCCTCACATAAAAAGAGTTTTTCATTTTTCAAATAAATGAATGTTTCCTATCTAAAAATAAATAAATGAATGAATGTTCTATCAATCTAAACTTAAATTATAAGAACCAAATTATTAAAAGAATAATCTTTGGAAGCTCTAATTTTGAGAGCTCTAATGATGTGGATAGTACCCATGTGAAGAGAGAGCACACACTCTTCTCTCTATCTCTCTATCTCTCTACTCTCTACTCTCTTTCTCTTCTACCTCACTAGAGCTCCATTTAGAGCTCTAGTATTAGAGTTATGTATCATTATTGTTATTAAAATTAAAACTATAAAGACTAAAATGATATTTGAATCAAATTACAAGAGTAAAAAGTATAATTAACCATTAAATTAAGTATAAAAAAAAAATCAATTTGTAACTTTCACCAAAAAAATCTCTCACAAGTGTATGCTATACTTATAGATATTGAAAATATTCTGGTCGTGGCATGTTTATTTTTTACTTCTTGATTTAAATTAGGTGTAAACAACTACGTCATTTTGTATTCGTGTTTGGTTCTTATCCACATATCATGTGAAAAAGAAATTTGTTGGTCAAAAAAAAAAAAAAATAGGTATATTATCTGAAATTATTTATAGATTGAATCCAGTAGTCTAGCTGAAGTAGTTTCCACTTTCCACCGGCGTGTTCGATTCCTTTCGTTTTCAACATGGAAGAAACGTCTTGTTGGATTTGTCAAAAAACAAAACAAATCTTAAAATATATGGGGAAATTACAGCAAAAAAAAAAAACACTAAACAGCAGAGACACCAAGGTATGGTATGTTTGTTTTATCTGGAAGATACGTCTTGTTGGAATGGTATGGTATGTTTCATTAAAATATATGGGGAAATTACAGCCAAAAAAAAAAAATTCTAAAGTTTGACCTTATAATAAAATAAATCTTAAAATTTTAATTTTGTCAATTTAAATTATAAACTTTTTATTTATTTTCAATCTAAATTATTTGTCTATTTTCATGAAGTAAAATCAATGAAAAATGAATATTTTACTCATTAAACTTAATGAAATTTTTTTAGACATTTTATGTATATTTACATTGAGTTTGATAATTAAAATATTTTTTTAATGTTTTACTTAACAAAAATAAATGAATGATTTAAATTGAAAATAAATAAATAAATAATTGAGATTTAAATTGACAAAATTAAAAATTCAGAATTTATTTTGTTAAAAGGCTCAAACTTTGGAGGTTTTTTTTTTTGTAATTGTCCCTTAAAATATTTATTTTCATATTTAGTTAGACTAAAAAAAAATAACAAATAGATTACAAATAAAATTATCTTTCATCATTTTAAAAAAATAATTATTTTATAAAAAATAAAAATTACCATTTCATTTTATTTCATTCCAATCCATTCAAATTTAATTGAAACAATCTTAATCCAAAATTTTACCCGAACGTGTACAAACAGACTGCCACCAAACTTTACCCAATCAGAGGAGATTATTTCCAAATGTCCCATAAATCATCTTTCTTCATTTTAAAAAAATAATTATTTTATAAAAAAGTAAAAATTACCACATCATATCATCTCACTTCATCCCATTCAAATTACTCAAACAAACCAAAAGATTACATTGAAACAATCTTTATTCAAAGAGTAATATTAGAGATCTTAAAAATTTCACTAAAATTTTTATCAAATATTTCATATGGATCTGAGACTCACATTGTGTGACTCCAGGTGAATCCCATACCTATATAAATTATTTAATAAAACTTTTAGAATTTCTAACATTTTTGTTATTCAAAATTTTACCCAAACGTGTACATACAGATTGCCACCAAACTTTACCCAATCAGAGGAGATTAAAGGGACCCACACAGTTAAGTTGTATAGAAATTTTGAAATGAAACGGTGATGAAAAAAATAATAATTTATATTTCATTAATGTGATTATCATTTTATCTTATTTTCCTTTATTTCCAAATACAGTTTTAAAAAATAAGTAAATTATAAATACACTTTATGAGATTTAGTTAAAATATAAATTACCTCATGTGAGTTGAAAAATTATAAATATCCTTTTGTCAGAATTTTTTGTTTAATAAAATTAATTGAAAAAATAAAATTCTTAACTTCTCTATTATATAATAATAAAATTATTTAAATTATTAATTATAATATATTTACGATATCATTCAAAACTATTAATTGATTTGATAATTTATTAATAAAATGATCCATTTGTTATGAAATTAAAAATCTCAAAGATGAAATTTAACTTCTAAAATTACAAGATACCATTCGTATTTTAAATAAATAATGTAATTTACTCCAAAAATAAAAAATAAATACAGAGACTTTTCAAAGACTTTGGAACAATGAATGTCCAATCTCCAACAATTATTTGGTAATTTATAGATCAAACTCATTCATTAAGAATTCATTTTCCTTACAACCAACCATTGATATGGCTATGGCTATGGCTATGGCTATGGCTATGGCTGTTTGCAACTCTTGGCCTTGGAACCCCCACCGATCACCTATTCAGCTTTGTTCTTTCTTCTTCTTCTACTTTGTGATCACCCTTTACTACTTTCCTCTTCATTCAATTGCACTTAACTTCAACTTCACCAATTTTAATGAAACAACATTTCAAAATGGCGACATAATATTAGAAGGAAAAGCCAGTTTTTCCAACCAAGCCATCCAACTCACCCCTACAAACCAACCGTGGATAGTTGGTCGAGCCTTGTATAAAGATCCTCTTAAACTTGGGCACATAGCTTCTGGAACACTGGTGGACTTCAACACCCATTTCTCGTTTGTCATTGATTCACAAGGAAACTTGGATTTTGCAGATGGGCTTGCATTCTTCCTTATTCCTCATAGTCCCCCTTCCAAACTCACACCAGGTTATGCCTTCGGTCTTCCAATCGTCCCCCCCAAACAGACTCCATGTGTTGCTGTAGAGTTTGATACCTATGTAAATGTGGATTTACATGTGGATGACCCACTCAACGCAACTCATGTAGGTATTGATATCAACTCTAACATATCTAATGTTACTGCAGTATGGTACAATAACATAACGTATGGGAAAGAGAATGAAGCTTGGATTAGTTATAATTCTACTTCGAAAAATTTGAGTGTTGTTTTCACCGGATACAAAGATAATAACATAATTGAAACTAGTCTTAGTTTTTCGGTTGACTTGAGGGAGCACTTACCAGAATTGGTTACAATAGGCTTCTCAGCTGCAACAGGAGATTTGTATGAGAAACATATTGTTAAATCATGGTCGTTCAATTCGAGTTTGCAATTCAATGTAACAACTAGTCCTAGTCCCAGTCCAAGTCTCGGTCCCAGTCTCATTCCAAGCCCCAATGCTACCTCTAGCCCAAGAAAGAAAGATGGAAACAACAAAAATGCTCTGGTTGTGGGGTTGATTGTTGGATCAACTGCTTTGGCTGGTGGGTTGGCTTTGTTTGGCTTCATCAAATGGAAGAAAAGTAAAGCACCAGAAGAGGATGGGGAGATTGGCCCTGATATGGCCATGGACAATGAATTCGATACAGGTATCGGACCAAAGAAGTTTTCATATACTGAATTGTTTTGTGCAACGAATAACTTCGCGGACGAACAGAAGCTTGGAGAGGGAGGATTTGGTGGGGTTTATAAAGGCTTTTTAAGGGAATTGAATTCTTATGTTGCTGTGAAGAGGATATCAAAGGGATCGAAGCAGGGAATAAAGGAGTATGCATCTGAAGTGAATATCATTAGTCGGTTGAGGCATAGAAATTTGGTGCAACTACTTGGTTGGTGTCATGACAAAAATGAACTCCTGCTTGTTTATGAGTTCATGGAAAATGGAAGCTTAGATAACCATCTCTTTAAAGAAAATAGCGTGTTGACATGGACAATAAGGTACAAAATTGCACAAGGCTTGGCCTCGGCATTGCTCTACCTACACGAAGGATGGGAGCAATGTGTAGTACACAGAGATGTAAAATCAAGCAATATGATGTTGGATTCAAATTTCAATGTTAAACTTGGAGATTTTGGATTAGCTAGGTTTGTCGACCATGGAAAAGATGTGCAAACAACTAATGTGGCAGGGACCAGGGGATACATGGCACCTGAATACCTATTTACAGGTAAAGCTAGCAAGGAATCAGATGTCTACAGTTTTGGAATTGTGGCATTGGAGATAGTTTGTGGAAGAAAACCCTTTGACTGGAAGGTCCCAGAAAGTCAAACGATATTGGTGGAGTGGGTTTGGGATCTCTATGCTACCAATAGGCTTCTTGAAGCAGTAAATCCGAAGATATATGCAGATTTTGTTCGAGAAGAAATGGAATGTTTGATGATTGTTGGGCTCTGGTGTGCTCACCCTGATCACAATCTTCGGCCTTCCATTAAGCAAGCAATTCATGTGCTTAATTTTGAAGCTCCATTGCCCATTCTCTCTACCAAAATGCCTGTGCCAACATACGTTTCGCCTCCAGTGAGTACTACTTCATCTTCAGTTTCTGGCAACTTTATTACGTTTTCTAATACCGGTCGATTTTAGTCTTCTAGCTAATACTATAGTTACCACACAGATTTCTCTAAATTCAACTCATTCTTTATAGTTGCATCATTTTTTTTCTTCAAGATTATTTCATTTTTACCCCTATACTTTGTCACGATTTTCAATGACCCCTAGACTATGCTTATTTTCATGCGTACCCCCGTACTATGTAAATTACAATCAATTTCACCCCTATCGTCACATTTGAAATGGAAACAGTTAAAAAAAATTATATTTTTGCCCCAAATTTCAAAAGAAAGACACAAATACACCGTCTCCTACCTAAACTCACCCTCTCTTCTCTTCCTTTAATTCTTTCCTCTCTCCATGGCCCTATAAGCGCTACCTCAGACTCTCTCTTTGTGTACAAAGTTTCACAAAATGGTGACAATGGAGACAATCTCAGTAGCTCTAAGTCTCGTCGATTTGAAGAAAAAGAGTCTCCAAAAAGCCTACGAAGATCTTCAATCCTACTAATCTGTTCTCTCCTCCTTCATTCTCTCATGGTCCGACCTCAATTCCTACTTCTTTTCCCTCCAATCCTTTCTCCAAACCCAGTTCATTATTCTTCAATCCCAATAAAACCCTCAATCTCAACCATCCAAACTACCATTAAATCAAACCCAACAATCGGATTCACTCATCTCGGTTTGGCTAGAGCTGAAAGCCTTCTGCAAGAACATGGATGGGTTAGGCTTGAGGAACTACATAGTCGAATGAGTGAGCCATGATCAGAATTGAGCTTCCTAACGCACTTCAGCTCACTCCGGATTCGGCTGCGATGGTTTTGGATGAGATGAAATGTTTCTATATGAAGAAATCAGAGCTGTATCATTCAAGGCAGAAATGTGGGGTTTGAATTGGATATGTAGAAGAGAGAATCTCTCTATACATATATATATATATATATTATGTATGTATGTGTGTGTATAACAGAGGTATGATCAAAGGTTAGAGAGAGAGAGAGAGAGAGAGAGAGAGAGAGTTTAGCTGTGTGTGAGCTAGTTTTTTAGTGAGAGAGAGTCCCAGTCCTGACAGTTTCTATATGTGGGGGATTACCCTTCACCACCGTCGCCGAACTCCATTACTGGCGAAAGAATGACGAAAGAATGAAGTAGGAAGTGAGGTGAAGAGAATGGCTCGAAGAAAAGTCAAAAATGAGAAGAAAAGTCTTATTTTTTCTATCAACTTTCAGAGCTTCGATAGCATGCAAAAAGAGGAAGAACAAGACATGTGAGATGTGATACGAAAACTAGACCGTGAGTTGAATCCAATGACGTAAAAATGAGGCGAAATGAAGTTATGACAAAAGAGATAGAAGGGCTTGAAGTGGTGGTTGGTGATGGTGGTGGTTTGCTAGTAAATGGATGGGTCTGCATCTTTCTTTTGCAATTTGGGGTTAAAATGTAATTTTTTTAACTTTTTCCATTTCAAATGTAACAATAGGGGCAAAATTGATAGTAATTTAAATAGTATGGGGTATGCGTGAAAATAAGAGTAGTTTGGGGGTCATTGAAAATAGTGACAAAGTATAGGGGTAAAAATGAAATAATATCTTTTTCTTCTTGTAATGATTTGTGTTTCACAAGGCTGTAGATAATCATCAATTAATGAGAGTTCAAATTTCATATGGTAGTAATTAGACTACAAAATTACATAAATGAGTTGTTCACTTATTTCATTTATATTACTGTTGCGATTACCATTTGCTAAGCTTCTAATTTTGATCAAAACAATAATGTGGCCTACTGTTTTGATAACATTTTAACAGCTAAGAGTTTTAATTAAAAATATATGATTTAATTTGTTAAAAAAATCTATACTTTTTAATTATATTGAATGAAGTTACGTAATAAATTTAAAAATTCTGCTTTAGTTGTTACCTATCGCCACTAGCAGATGGCTTGGTCAAGTCTACAATGGAAATTTGGTCACATTCCAAATAAATGTATGACCGCATCTTTCCTCATAACTGGTTATTCGTTATCTTGGGATCAAGTCTTTCAAGTCTCTTTACTATTTATCCATCTTCTAATATAAAATCGTACGTCTTATCTCTTTCATCATCACAACACTTCTCAAACACGACCATATCTGAATAGTAGTGAATCTCATGTCACAAAATACAATGTGAGTTATAATAGCAGTTAGGCCAACCTTAGTGATAGAAAATGTTGTCTATTTATTTTTAAAAAAATTTAAGGATACTTAATTATTTTATATGAAATATGTCTTATAAAATGTCTGAATTTTATCCAATAAAAAATTGTATTTAATTTTGTAATCAAATTCTTTATATATAGTATAATGATAAGAAAGTCCCAAGATATACCCTTCACCTTTCAAAATGTTTGTAAACAAAAACACATTCTCATTGGTCCAAAATAGAAGGGCTTATAATTTTAAACGGAGACAATACACTTTTTCAAATATGGAGTCCACTATTTTGAATAATTCTATTAATTCAACAAAAATCTATTTGTATGGTCAAGATTATAATATAGAATTATGTATGAAATAAATTTGAACGATAAACGTTTTTAAATAAAAATCTAAGTAAAAATTTTGGGTATATTATCCCTCTGCATTATTTTGGGGAATGGGAATGCTGCTGTGCGCACAGCACTGCAGCTACTGTTTGCGCATAGATACGGTGCCGTTTTGAGCTTTTGGTTAATTTTTTTAATTTGTTTTTCTGTGTAGAAATGATATTGGACCTTTTAAAAATAGAGAGAATTACATGATAGTGGGACAAAAAAATATTACACAAATATGATGGGTGCAAATCCTCTTGTGACGGGGATGCAACTAAAGTTCTGTGATGTTTGTGCATTTTTTTTTTTTTTTCTGTTACTCAATTAAATAATTCCTCAAAAGTATCTCTTGGGCAAAATTTGGCAACAGTTAACAAAAAAAATTTGGAGAAATCACCACAAAAAAAAAAAATATATATATATATATATATATCTAAGAAGTTGATTATGATAATAAAAAAAGGGTAAATTGCATTCACTTCTCTTGAGATTTCTAACAAATATAGGGACCTCTCATGTGGTTTCAATAATTACAGTAACTCCCTTATTTTACCTGACATTCTCCAGATTCCTCCCTCTGTTGACTTCCATTTATTTTTCTCACAGAAAAAACTGATGTCATCAAAACTAAAAACTAAAATGACCAAAATGCCCTCAAATGTCCTCAACCCACCTATATATACCAATACCAAATGTTGGCCGGTCGTTCGGAACATTTTTTATTTTTTTTTTTGTAATTGTAACCTTCTATTTAAAAACACAACAATAGGTAAGTTATCCACAACCATTAAAATTTATCTTAAAATTTATTCTTAGTTATTTATTTTATAATATTACTCCAACCAAAATTTCAGTTTACAGTGAAGTGGCCACCTCAACCTGAAAACAACTTGAACTCACAATTTCAAAAACTACAACTGCAGTTTGTCAAATAATTTCAGAACTGCAGAATTTTTCTATATTGTTTTCGGAAAATAATATTCCGCGAAATCACTCAATGAAAATACATGTCTGGACTTTCTAGAAACTATTTACACACAAGCATTGTCTTCCTGACCAAGTTAAATAGTGTAAAATCCTGCCAAACTATAATCTTGTGTGTATATGTATATACATATAAACAAGACAACTTTTTAGCAAAATTATGACAACATAAAAAAATCCCTATCGAACACACGGAAAAAAAAAAAAAAAAAAAAAAACCCAGCGTCACCTTAAATTTTGAGTGGTGCTGCAAATTTTTTCATTAAAAAGTGCTAGGAATCTTAAAAGTTTCCTACCGCGTAATACAAGCACTTGTATAAATCTAACGTAAACACACAAATAAATCCAACACACACACAACAGGGTATTGTAACACAGATTGCAGAATGTCCTAATTTAGCCTATTATCTTCCGCATTTAGCAAGTTGGTATTGTAGAAATTGTGGAAATCCAGAACAGATATGTTGCTTGTCTGTATAATGCTGAGTAACAGATATTTTATTTTTTTTTATAAATCTATTTTCAAATATTTTAATTTTTTTGTTATGTATTTGATTACGATTTAAGTGTAGAATTTTGAAAGTATTGTGGAGTTTCGAGTTATGTGTTTGTTTGGTTATGAGATTTGAAAATAATTTTTGAATTGAGTTTTGAGGTTTGAGTTATGTGTTTGGTTACGATTTAAGTGTAGAGTTGTGTTTTGAGTTTAAAATATTAAAATTAAAAAAATAAAAATATTTACAAAATAAAATAAAATATTTAAAATAGAGTTTTTTTAAAAAATTAAATAAAAATTATATATTTAAAATAAAAAAAATAAAATTTTCTTTAACATTTTTTAATATTTTAAAAAAATAAATCCAAAAACATTGTTTGTTCCAAACACTATTCCAAACCTGTCCTCCAATCCAAAAATATTTTTTAATATTTTAAAAAGAAGGGCAAAGAGGTTATTTACTATAAGAAACTAACACCGTTTGTTCTAATTTGACAAGAGGAGAGAATCTGGAGAATGTTAGGTAAAGTAGGAGATGTTACTGTAATTATTAAAACCACAGGGGAGGTCCCTGTATTTGTCAGAAACATCAGGAAATGTGAGTGTAATTTACCCTAAAATAAATCTTGGTGTTTCAGTTTTTTTAATTTAAACCTTTATCTTTTGATTTCCTTCAATTTAAATCATTTCTCTATTTTTATTAAATAAAACAGACATAAAAAAGTATTGGGTTAATTATAAAAAAAAATTCCAAGATTTCGTGCATTTTTCACTTTAAACCTCAATGGTTCAATTTCGCCAAATTAAACCCTAGAGCTCTATTTGTATTTCAATTTGCCTCATTCGTCCATCTCCGTCTATGTAAGGTAACGGAAGGGGTTTAAAGTGAAAAATACTGGAGTTTAAAGTGAAAAATGTATGTAACCTTATGGTTTTTTTTGTGTAATTAATCATTTTTTAAAATTTAAAATCACTAAAAATAAAAAAGGATTAATTACAAAATAAATCCCAAAGTTTCACATGTTTTTCACTTTAAACCCCCTCCGTTACCTTACACAGACTGAGATAGACGGAAGGGGCAAATTGAAATACCAATAAAATTTCTTTTTTTTTTTTGGGTAAGTAAGTTATAAATAAAAACAAAAAGCTAATAAAACATACAAGGGGCATGCCCCAGGCCCTATCCACAACTATACATCAGAAAAAAATAAAAAAAAATGAGTAACAACAGACCTAACCAAAGACACTAAAGGCCATACACAAATACCAAACAACTAACAAACTAAACATCTCACAAACAATTTTACAATAAACCAACGGCAGCAACCAGCACCATAAAGAGACGTATTCTTGGAACCCATCATAAGAACCGAGAACACTATCACAGCATAAATGGCCACCCCGGAGAACAAAACATCCCTTGCACATCCCGCAAGGGTATGCACCCAAATACACTAATAAACATAACCTATAGACAATTAAATATATGGGAAATAAAACACATTTCTTGACACCATCGGCGCTCCCAACAGCCAACAACTTACTTCCATGCTTTCGAATTTTAGTGATTCCCCATTTTACAGCCGCATAATGTATTAAACAGCGCTTCCATTGATTAGGGGAGCCTCGCACAATCCTACATCCACAAACCGTGTCCCTATTGTTCCAATAAGAACTGCTACCAGCAAAGAGAGAGCTCTTCCTTATACAAAACTGCCACTTTTTCCAACAGCCTTTGAGTAATGCATCACCCTCCCTTAAGCTAAAGTAGCCTGACCAAAATGAGTGGAAAGAGAAAAACACACATTAATAAAATATAAACATGCATTTTCTAGGCTCACATCACTCAACACACAATTTAGATTCTCACTCCACTAAAAAAACTTCAGATCCATGTACCTGCAAAATAGAGGAAGATAAGTAGACATGAATATATAACAAACACTCAATATGGCAAGTAGAAATGGGGTATGGATATTTGTGTATCTCCCATAACACTCAACCCACTGAGATTGGTTATTATCACTCACAGCTAGCAGTTCCATCTTATCCATGTACTTACAAAATGAGCAAACCATTAAGAAAACACTCAATTTGTGCTACCATCACTTAACCCACAATTTATTGAACTCTCAACTCTCATTCCATTTGTTGTTGGCTTTCAGCATAGCGTTAGGCAGCCTCCAGGAACTCAAAAACCAACTATCACTAGGATGCAATTTGAGGTTAGTAATAGACATTACTCGAAATCTAATCATATCCACAATGCCTTTAATCACAATCTCTTCACAAATCTTTTCCTTTCTAAATATGCAATTGTTCCTAACAATCCAAAGCTGATACACAGTACAAGTAAATGCAAGTCTTGTGACCACAGCACTAAGAGATTTACCTTTGACCGTTTTAGAAACCAACTGAACAATGTCAGGCCAAAGGAGATGGGGCCAATTCACATTAAGTTTCCCTTTAATACTCTCCCAAACTCGACTAGAGAAGGGGCAATCAAAGAATAAATGGTTATGATCCTCATAAGGGTCGTTACACAAAGCACACATAGAGGTTTGAGATATACAAAACGGCTTAAGCCTATCCCCTGTGTTTAATCTCCCCAAAATAGACATCCAAGTAACCATACTTGCCTGAGGGATATTATGAGGACCCCACAACAGCTTCTCCCAAGAAACTTTAGTAAAAGATTTCCTGAACCAATTCCAAGTTGAATTTATAGAAAACTTACCATCAGAAGACGGCACCCAAATAACAGTATCATTACCAGAGTTGGGAGTAAACGTAAGCAGGGTATGCTCAATCAACTTCTGTAAGAAGCTCTTCCTTCTCCTGGGCCAACTTCAAGAACGATTATTAACAATCCTACTAACCTTAGCATCCATCCCAAAGGCAATATCATGGACAACTCTAGCACCAAACCTCACCCACAAATATCCAAGAGGATGCCAATTGTCAAACCACAAGAAAACATCACCCCCATTCCCA